CAATATGCCACTCAATTCTATTCTAATGTTGACTGTCACGACTAGAACATCTCCGTGAGAATGTTGATGAAAAGTAAAGTTTATATCCACATGCTGAAACAAGAAATGTTAACAACTACCACTTTATCTGATACTCTCTTTGTGCTTAAGTGTATTTTCTGTTGCCTTGGCAACTAGTGAAAGGTGTGTGTGTGTGCAGAGGTGAGCATAGTGGATAAAACAGTTGGGCTATGCCAACCAACCCCCTGTTCCTATGTACCCCTTTCTGTGTCTGTGTTTCCCTCTCAATCTGATGCCACAGCAACCATAGCACGAAATGTCCTTGCTTGTTATTAGGAAAAGGTTGTAAAGGGCCGGACTTGCAGTGAAGGAAAAATGAGAAAGGAAAGGCTGGTATTAGAGTTTGTGTTCACTGTTCTCCTGAATCCTCCATTAGTTATGCTGCGATAGGTGATAGGAATCCCCCAGCAGCCTACACCTTGTCGCGATATAAATAAAATTTAATTTTTCCCCCCTCTTTGTCTTTAATCCTGGCCATAGCAACATCAAATCAAGTCTGCTTTGGTACCGTTGCAACCTGCCTATTCCACAACTCACCTCGGGTAATTTACATTCAGACTTAAAATCTATCTGAATTCAGCTGAGCAGGTGCAAGGCAACCGTTTTTTTTTTTGCTTTTTTTTTTTTAACCCTTTCAAGGCTGATAGTGGATAAAATGGAAATCTAACCCACAGAGGATGTTTGAAACCACAGCTTTTTCCTCCCGCTTTACAAATATTAGAATATGCTTTTGCATATTTAGGATAAGCTTTGTCTTACTGGTAGGATATAAAGAGACAGCTGTTCTTCCCACAATTAAAGCAAAGATAAGCATCTGCCATCAGAACCTGACCTGTACACTCAACCCAGCAAATTATCCTAATTGGCTTTTAAAAAATAATTACTATGTAATCTCTTTGGAGTCTAATTAAACAGAAACACACACTTGTGTAATCCAGTTTGTGAATCTGCTACTTTCTGAAAATCTGGGAAAAACATTAATGACACACACACACACAAACATTTTAAGACTGAACAATGTGTTTTATTGGCAACCTTGATTTGTATACAGCTGAATTTGAAGGACTTGTTCTCCAGTGTAGTTGATTTTAAATAAGTTAAAACATATTAATATGAAAAATTAATAATAAATCAATTAGATTCTTACATTTTGTAACAGAAACCATTTTAATCTAAATGGAAATTGTACTGCCAGTTGTATTTTTCAGTAATGTATAGCTTTGTTGTAGAAAAGTATAGTGAAGTTTTGAGAGAACTATTTGCATGTTTACCAACAGTGACATCAAGCAGATACACTTGACTGCGAAACAGCAGTTGAGCTGGACTTGAAACACTTTATGTACACAACACTAGTGTAGCAGAATAATCTTTTTCTTGGTAATTTGGCACCAAGAATCTTCCTCCACTCTAGCTGAGTCCCCATAACTCCTCCATCACAAAGCCTGGTTGATCATCAGTCAGAAGTAGTCCAAAAAATGAACTTTAAATTATGTACAATTCTACTCTGTAAGCCTTAATTGGAAACCAACCGTTTAAGAGCTCTCTGGCTGTGAAAACCATGAGCCAGGCTTTGTTATGTAGGTGTTTCTTCCTGTATCTAT